TATTTCCCACCTTTAAAAAGCCGGATCACTCGTGTGCTACTGTTCTCACAATGAATGAGGCATCATGGTTTAAGGTTATGCGAGTATTAGCAGGAGGTGTGGAGATGACAGGGAAATGGGAAACAATAAATGGGCCAATAAACGGTACTCAGTTGGTGAAAGATGGGATGAGAACCAACATTAAATCATATTAAGGACAATGCATGTTTTTATTTATGTGAAAAATATGTAAAAGATGTTCTCAGGTGTTGGAGGATGGATTCTTAACGGCGGCTGTGGTAAAGAACATTTCCGATACTGCAATAATTCATGCTGTTTTGAGCGTGGCATATATTTCCATTTTTGACAGTGTGCAATCTTTGCACAGAGAATGTGTGCACCAGTGAGCAGCAATACTTTGTGGAGTACATACTGGTCAACAGAATGTATTCAGTCAGTCCCACATACAGAGCAGTGTGCGGAGTGGAAGAGATCCCGCACAGTCCATTCACTCACAGCTGTGAGTGAATGTGACAGCGAACGCAATGTCTGACCCCCTGATCCGTAGAGAGGGTCTGCACCTCGCTGCAGACAGACAGACAGACATGTTTGGGCTGGAATAGTGCGAGACCAATACTCCAGAGACTCCCCTCTCACTGCTCCATCAATTATTCACAAGTCATACAACGAGACTGGCCAATAAAACACACTCATATGTGCAAACACACACATACACACACACAAGTAGGGCCTTGAGGCAAGAAGGAGCATTATAGCATCAGCAACAGGAATAAATCTTACACGGACCTTTATCTTATCTGCTCAAATTGACCCCCAAAAAATACTGTGACATTACTGTATTCAATGAATCAATACCGTGCCCGATTTAAGTTGCCACTGTTTGGCATTGCTATTACATTTAAGTATATTGATTTGCCAATAAATTGAAAGATCCACAATACGCAATATCTAAGATTTCATGGATGCAAGGAAGGCGATCAACTAGACCACACACTCTTTGCACACACATCACCGAGGCTACATATCGTTAACAATGAGGCCACCACGCAACAATTAGGCCCTAAAACAGAACCCACAAGTGGACCCCAAGTTATGAACTTTGCTGTCTCTTTGATATGTTTCACCAACTTGGGGGGG